AAAAATGACGAGATCAATAAACTTTATCAAAATAGGGTATTGTGGGGTTTTTGGGACCGCTGATTACGAATAGTTAAAGTATAAATCATTTCATAGCGAATCAAGTTTTATTTTTATAATCCTTCACACATTAAAAATCAGAAAACAAAACATGGTTTGAATAGTCGAATTATTGGTAAGAATTTGTATTAGTAATGAAAACTGGGCAGAAAAATTGAAAGTGTTAGTAAAGTTCGTCGTTATCTTCAGTGGAACTTCGATTACTTCGAATTTATATTTATATAAGTGCTTATTTAACCATTTTTAAAGGCTAACAATTTGTATTTGTCCCACATTGCATTTTGTGGGGTTTTTGGCGGACCTATAAAATATAGTTACTATGAAGAAATGGTTAAGGAACCCTCAACCTCAGGTATTATACTTATTTTTAAACTGTATTTTAACGAAAAAGGTGGACGTAAACTTTAATTAATTTCTTTAATTTCTATGTAAAAAACATACATTTGACTACTACATTGCAATAATTGAGGTTCCATTTTGTGCCTTTTCTTAAAAATTTAGCGTTTAGTGCTGCAATTTTTATGACAAATTGTGTGATTTGAATTGAAAATTTAGTGAAGTGGTTATAACTTATAATCTGTTCTTTGTTTTGTTTTTGTTATTCTATTGAAGGTGTCTGCAAATAAGGTTCGGCATATCTATTAGTTTTGATGTTCTTATACATAATTTCTGATTTTACTAAATATTTAATATGGCTTTTAAAAGTTCTCTGAAATACGAAAAAGTTGGTAGACATCTTCACCAACAAGAGAAGTAAAATACAAAAAATACTTAAGGGAATCGATGGAGAAAAGTAAACAAACATCTAATGAAAAAGCATTAGCTATGTTGGTTGATGCTCAGTTAATGCGACATCAATATAATAACAGGTTTTTATAGTAACTTCTCCAGTAAAACATTGCAGCGAAAGCGTAAAAGCAAAATAGAGCGTCAAATTGAGAAGAACAGAAAACTAGCAGAAAAAGTTAATGAACACAAAACTAGCAAAAACTTGCAAGTGAACAGCTGTTGCACTGTTTTGATATTCTGCTGTAAACATTTTACTATTTATAAATCATTTTTAAACGCTTCGCTTTACACACACGCACTTATACAGTCCAGTACATCATTAATATTTTGATTTCTACTCATTTTACTTTTGTATGTGCTGAACCAATTCAACAAATGGCGGCTTTTTACTCTTATTCTTCTTCTTCTTCTGCTAGCTAATTTCTGCTAGTAGAAATTTCACTAGCAAGAATTTGTAGCTCTCCCGTGTCGTTACGCTCTCGATTCAGTGCTCTCTTGCAAATTTTTTGGGTTATCATACACTTTTCCAGTAAAAATTTTCAGGTTTCACTACAAATTACTACTGACTATTGGTTACTATACAAACCTAACATTAAAAAGGCTGCTCCAGATCACATGTTCCCTTCCAGTAAGCTAAAAACTGTGTTACTTTCATTGCGACAGTGTTAAAATCACTGAAAATTCAGCTGTAGTTGAATTAAAAATACTTATTGATCATGCTGTACAATGTCTAATAATGCTCCAAAATGCTGTTATTGGGTAGGTTCAGAAGGCGCAGCAGTTGAGCGCGACCGTTGCTAAAAAAAATCAGTGATCGTAATGCGTCTTCTGAACGGCTTGATACATTAGCTGTCAAATTGAACAACACACAACATGTTGTCTCAAATGATCAGAAAAATATTAGAGGTATTCTCGGAGTCTTGCAAAGCCCTTGCACGGTGCACGGATTGCACGGTTTGCAAAGCTGTCCCATACGAAAACCGGTTTTAACCGTGCAATCCGTGCAATCTGTGCACCATGCAAGGGCTTTGCAAGACTCAGAGAATACCCCTATTATGATCATCTAACAAGCAACTGTGCCGTTAATCACAAGTACAAAACAACGCATTCAGAAGGTGCAATCGCAACAGTTACTGAGCCTTCTGTACGCGCCCATTGTTACTTAATGTGAAACAGAATTATAAAATGTTTGCTCGCAATCTATGTTGGATTTTGATAGAAGCTCTGGCCATAGCTCATTTAAACAAACGTTTCATGGACCAAGTGCCAGCGATTGGTCTGGCTACCTCTCTTAGTATGCGTAAATTAAATCAAAAATTGTTTAGAGTATACCAATACAAAAATGGCAAGCAAGACCAGAAGACGATAAGAAAACGTGATTCAGTTCAATACCTGAAATCAAAAGCACTTCACTTCTTTTCTTAGAATTCTATGTAGAATCCGAATTTGCTTGGAACGATGTCGAAAAAGCGTTCCATGCGAATTGGCCCGCCCTTATGTACATAATTGAATCTGTCATAGTAGCTCCTGAAAAGCCAAGAAAGCGGCGGATACATTAAGTTGAGCAAGTTGTATATTTTCATATGCAGCACTTTAGAAATACTATATGAGACGGGCAAGCCTGTTCCACAACTTTTAAGTACCTCGGAGAAGGAAAAATCGCCGCGCGACCTTTGACAGAATTGAATTTTTTTTTAAGTATGAATATTCGTAAGCTTTAATTGGAAAATAAAAACAATGTTACATTTTGTGTATATAGTTACTAAGAGTGTCTTACATATGTACATGTGTATGTATGTACTTTAAATGAAATATATTTATATTTTGTTCGTCAGGATTTTGATTTTAATTCGTGTCTTAAACTTATACTGCGTAACAATTTTTACCGATTTGAGGGCACAAACTTACCTGCGATTTTGGTACCATGTCTTCACTTGGCAATCACTCAACTCCAGTTTGTTGGCTAACTCCATTCGGTCCTGCACACTTAAATACTTTTGCCTTTCGAATGACTTTTCCAAAGTCTGCAATTGATGGTCCGTAAATGCTGTGCGCGCTTTTCGTTGTTTCTTTGACAGACTCATTAAACCCTCACTTTTGCTACTGTAAGCATCTTCATCTTTTTCACCTGTAGATATATAAAATAGAAATAGAAATTCTTACAAGAAACTATAATGCTGATAAAAAAAAAGTATGTATGCACATAATCTATGAGCTAAAACGAAAGACTTGGGCCACAAACCTACAATGCTTTAGATACATTTATTTATGTACGTACACATCAGCGATGTTGCGAATATTTGCATTCGCATTCGTTATGCGAATGATTCTCATAATTTTACACATTCGCATTCGGTTAAGTAGTATATCAAGCAACATTGATGGGCCTTCAACAAGTACTGCTAAAAGTCTTATAAGCAACCCGGAAATAATTTTAGATTTCTCCAGCGAAAGCGGAGACTCGGAATATGGAATAAAATGCGTAAGATCATTTGGAAACCAAATTACACTAAATATGCGCAAATTGGCGTAACATATATTTAAATGGTCACGACAAGATTATAATTTTACAGAAATAAAAAGAAAATGTTTTTAATAATGCACATACATACATACATACATACATAAGCGCATTTCATATGGTTTTCTCCAATTTTTTTGTTTTTAGAAGTATTCAAGAAACTTGCTCTTAAGGCAGTGTCACACGATTCGTACATTTGTACAGATTTGTACATTTTTTATATTGGGCTATTGGTATAAAATAGAAAAATTGGGACAACAATTTTTTTTTATATGTTGTCACACGATTGGTACAATATTTGTGCATTCACACGATTGGAATACTATTTGCACTACACTTAAGGCAAATTTCGAATCGTGTGACACGGCCTTTACAACATAATTCATTTGTTACACGTAAAAGGCCAGAAGAAAAAAAGTTACAAATCAACGCGATTTTCTAGAGTCTTCAAATTTACACTTTACTCTGCATGCTCAGAAGTTTTATATAGATTCATATCTAAAAGTTTGAACATTTGGAGAATTCTTTCTTTGGTTTAGACTTTGATTGAAGCTATTTTAGCTAAGTATGGACAGTATTTAAATCAAATATCAAATGTCAACGAACTAAGGCAACAGCCGGAGTACGAAAACAAAAATTTACATGTGCAGTATATTTTGCATAACCGAAAAAGCATTTAAGCGAATTCTCTTTGCTACTTCAATGAGGAAGGCATCCGAATCCCTATGAAACCAAGTGATTGAGGAGCACTTACCACGTAGAAATTACTGCAAGCGAAATTTTTCCCGAATGGTATCTCTATATGAGTACATAAAATTATAGCCATTTTTGTTGTTCTGCGAGATAAGCAAAATAAATAAAAGCTTGCAAAATTAGGGTAAGTGTAGAGCCAGTGCAGGTAAACGTTATAAATACTTTAGTTGATAATTGATAATAGTTGCACAATTTTTAAGGCTGGTATCGCTACCTACATGTTGAAATTCGCCTTCAGTTTTAATATGAAAAACATATTAATATCAAAAAAAATTACCATTTTTACATTTACGCTCCTCACTGTACATATATCGAATTTCAACTTGACGAAAATGTTATTTTTTCAACGTCAAGCGAAATTTGAATAAAATGAATTGGATGGGGGAGCCCCATCTACGCTTACAATCGTTCCACATACACTGAGGGAAAAAATATTAAAATCAAATAGAAAAGTAATTGATCTTACGATACACGCCAACGAAATTTGGTAAATATTCAATTCAATGGCCGCGAAATGCGACTAATCCGGGATGACTCCGGGAGCAATCGCAAAGGAGCATGCGACTAATACCACTTTTGATCTCCTTATATGGATTGAACTGCTCGCTTTTGTTCGAGCATGTCCTATGAAGAGACGAATTGTTCCCCTTTATACCCGAACGGCAACAAAAGGCGACTAGTCACTTTTAAAAAATAAAAATACAAATTTGCACCAGCTGCGATTCGAACCGGGGTTCCCAGTTTTGTTAAGCCAATACTCCCTTACTGTGCCTGTGCCAACGCCACACATGAAATTTCATTGACTAAGTGCGTAGATATCATTAAATCGTTAATAGTACCCGTTAGAAATGAGTCGGGGACTAATTGATCTCCAATAGTACCCGTATGAGACTAGTTGCGACCAATGTATTTCTAGAGGTCTAACTTAATACAGAAAGAAAAACAAAGAGAGTTGCCACCTTTTTGAAAATTGCAGTTTGAGTAAAGTGATAAGACAAAGTAAATATTCCAATATGGCGGTCAAAAGAAAGAGGTTTAATAAGACTTACAGCCGAAAATATTTTTGTGGAAAGTTGCCACCAGTTTGAAAATTTTAATTTAATTTAATTGATAAGATAAATTTAATATTGCAATATGGGTATCAAACTGAAGGGGTTTAAGACGGTTTATGTCGAAAGTATTTTTGAGGAGGGTCTAAAAATTTACAGGATCTTTATTTGACGGTTAAAAAATGTTCGTTGCCAGTGTGGAATAAGCCTGTAAATTAAATAAATTTCACTACGTAATCACCTAATACCTGTAAAATATGCGTACTAAATTTCGAAAAACTAGGCACAGTAGCAGTGGTCTTATAAGAGAGAGAGGAGGTGCAAATTATAAGTATATACATAAGTACTTGGAAGAGTACTTCAGGATCTGCAGGTTTTATCTGTTTTCGCCATTATAAAACCTTATGGCAGGTGGCGTACGGGAACAGCTTCCTCTAAAAACTTGCAAATCCTGAAGTACCTGGAACAGACTTTATAAAAGGAAACTATTCGTGACACTCAAATAAAAAATTGGCAAACCTCAAAACGAGTGTAAAGTCTTTTACAATCATTGCCGGTATCTTATCGGATGGTACGCTCCTCTAGCCGTCTTTAATAGCAATTAAAAAAAATTTGTTTATTATTTTTTTTTCGATTTTTGAAACATTCATAACCACACAAGTCAAGTTATGTTATCAACAATTACTTGTCAGTTTGTAATTTTATATGCAAAAGCTAAAAGGATGTATGCGCTTTGTGGTTGATCTACATACATACATACATACATACATACATGTGTGCATAGTTCAATTCATTCTAGCCGGTCAGGTGAGTGCATGCACACATGCATATGTACGTATAAATATGAATATACATACATGGATGTACATTAGGGTGGTCCAAAAACAGTAAACTCGGAGTTGTAATGCTCTCACCCCCTAGGATTGTTCTACTACGAAAAAAAGTATACCCCTATTTTTTATTTTGAAATCAAAAAATATTTAGAGGTCGCTCAAAGCGCTCAAAGTTTTCCATGTATTTTTATATGGGGAAAAACCACTTTTGGTAGAAATGGTATAGAATTCTTGAAAACCAATATTTTTCGATCGGAAAACTCTGGTTCTCTTCAGGAGACTTTCAGTAATAAGACACAATTGTTTATTTAACCATTTTTTAATACTAACGATTTTTTATTGGTCCCCCCATTCAATTTTTCGGGGTTTTTGTGGGATTTTGGGGGACCTATAAATTAAAGTTGCGATGAAAAAATGGTTAAATAAAAATTTGAGTTTATTATTGGGAATCTGCTGCAGACAAATTGAGTTCTCTCATAGAAAAATATTGATTTTTAAGAATTCTATACCATTTCTACGAAAAGTTGTTTTTTTCCCATACAAAATACATGGAAAACTTTGGGCGCATTGAGCGACCTCTAAATATTTTTTAATTTTGAAATAAAAAAATTTGGATATATTTTTTTCGGTATAGAACAATCCTAGGGGGTGAGAGCATAAAAATTCCGACTTTACTTTTCCACGTGTATTTTTGGACCACCCTAATGTACATACATATGTATGCACGACCATAGTGGATTGTGTGTAGGTATTTAGACCACAAAATAATTTCCGCAGTGTTAGACTGTCTAAGACGCATTGTTAAAGTGCACTTTTTATTACGTTGCCGAGCGTTAAATATTTCCACAAACATACTAATGGGCATACATACATAAGTGCATATGTGTAGGCATACTCAGATTCATCCATAGATAATGTATTTACAGTATCGGACATATTATTTGCTACAAAATTCAAAATGATATTATTTACCACTTCCATATCGAGGGCTTATAACGGGTGATTTTTTAAGAGCTTGATAACTTTTTTTTAAAAAAAAACGCATAAAATTTGCAAAATCTCATCGGTTCTTTATTTGAAACGTTAGATTGGTCCATGACATTTACTTTTTGAAGATAATTTCATTTAAATGTTGACCGCGGCTGCGTCTTAGGTGGTCCATTCGGAAAGTCCAATTTTGGGCAACTTTTTCGAGCATTTCGGCCGGAATAGCCCGAATTTCTTCGGAAATGTTGTCTTCCAAAGCTGGAATAGTTGCTGGCTTATTTCTGTAGACTTTAGACTTGACGTAGCCCCACAAAAAATAGTCTAAAGGCGTCAAATCGCATGATCTTGGTGGCCAACTTACCGGTCCATTTCTTGAGATGAATTGTTCTCCGAAGTTTTCCCTCAAAATGGCCATAGAATCGCGAGCTGTGTGGCATGTAGCGCCATCTTGTTGAAACCACATGTCAACCAAGTTCAGTTCTTCCATTTTTTGGCAACAAAAAGTTTGTTAGCATCGAACGATAGCGATCGCCATTCACCGTAACGTTGCGTCCAACAGCATCTTTGAAAAAATACGGTCCAATGATTCCACCAGCGTACAAACCACACCAAACAGTGCATTTTTCGGGATGCATGGGCAGTTCTTGAACGGCTTCTGGTTGCTCTTCACTCCAAATGCGGCAATTTTGCTTATTTACGAAGCCATTCAACCAGAAATGAGCCTCATCGCTGAACAAAATTTGTCGATTTCGAACATTTCGAACCGAACACTGATTTTGGTAATAAAATTCAATGATTTGCAAGCGTTGCTCGTTAGTAAGTCTATTCATGATGAAATTTCAAAGCATACTGAGCATCTTTCTCTTTGACACCATGTCTGAAATCCCACGTGATCTGTCAAATACTAATGCATGAAAATCCTAACCTCAAAAAAATCACCCGTTATATATTCAGTATCCTCTATCTGTACTTTTTACAAAAATAA